GTATGGTATTTGCATTTGCAAACTTATTTGGAAAGTATTTTGTACAAGAATTATTAATTAGTAGATTTGTGAAACGCCCGATTTACACTGACGAAATTATTTGTTTTGCCGTTAATAATATTACAGTAATACTGAAGTTGATGCTGTGATAATCATAATCAGGATTAACATGTTTTTAGTATTGTAACAATTTACGCCACCTATTCGATAATTACGGTCAAAGATAAACACATCAAGTATCCCTGAAAGTAAGTAACTAAAATCCTAATTATTGATTTCATTACTTAGTAAACATTTTACATTCCGAACGTCGAATACATTTGTCAATCGAAGTCTTTTCATTGCTCGAAGACGAGGCGTAGAATAAATTATTCTTAAGTAGATCTCATTTGAAATACAAAGAAAGCCTCGATTGAGGTAAAGACAACGTTCTTTGAAAGGACTAATTATACTGTTCGTGAATAGAAGTTAATTATTATTAAGTGTTATGTAAATATTGGCTTCTGAGAATCTGTATTTTAGTCCCACCTTAAAAAGCGCATATTTTATTATTTTCTAAGTGGGGTGGTATTATAAATTCCATAGGATCTGAAATAGTTGAATTAAAGTCAATTTAGACGTAGGACATTCACTTCCAACAACTTGGATCAGGACCAATCAATAGCAGCAGAAATTAACCAACTTTCCTGAGCCCAACTTGACTTGTTGGCCAAGTTTGTACCACAATTCCACCGCTACAAAGCTATTACCCAAACCCCAACACTTGTGATTGAGAAACGTTCGTTTAGGGTGGTGTATATGTAATACTGTTGTTCCATTTGATAGCTAAATGAGATTCAGAATGAATTTAAAATAGGGACTTTAATTGAAAAATTGTTAAACATAATTAAATATTTTTTATTGCTATTACACAATATATAAATTTTTTTACAAACATGTATGAAGTTTGGAAAAAAGATTTTCGGGTTTTAGTTAATCTTTTTAATAGTTAAATCGGGTAGGAGCACGTATAGGATAATTAATACGGCATAAAGAGATAACCCTTTTCTTATGTGCTCAAACACATAAGAACATAGGGAACACACACACAGATTTCACTTAACATTTTTGGCTTCAGTGGGGCCCAAAACATAAATTTCCACCCAGATTTTGAATTGAAATGGTTGAAGATAGCTATATTTTCTCCATATACTATGTATATGGGGTGAAAGTAAACATAATAGATTTATAGCATTATGCTAATTTCTAGCACATCCTGCAGACAAAACTTTGATTTTACCAAGAAGAAATATTCCAGATCATGACACCTTTTAACATTTTCTACTAACATTTCCTATTCTAAAACAGGTAAAATAGAACTAAAATGTTTAGTTTTGTTTACAAATTTTAAAAGTTTCCGTTTAGTTATTTCAATCGTTCCTTGGACAAGTGTGTACTAAAATTTTCTTCTATAACATCCAAAACGTCCACCGTTTATCAACTGTACGTTATGCATAAAACTACATAATTTTTTTACAACGACCTTTTATTACATGCGTGTATTGAGAAAATTGAACAATCTACTTACAAAATAAATACAGCTTACTGTAATTCAATTTAAGATTATGCTGCCAAACTGAAATCCAAACTGAAATAAAACAAGATTAAATAAACGTTACCTTCAAGAGCCAATTACACGTTGGCCAAAGGCCAGGCTGTCTAAGGGAAGTTGCCAATCTGTTCGTCTCAGGGGAGGAAGTGGCGTGTATTGGATACGTATTGGGATCGGGAGACTGGACTCGTCAATCCCCATCTTGATATCTGTAATAATGGGTAATTTTGTTACAAAAATGTACCAATTACGCTCTAATGCAATACAAATAATCATAATCAAAACCGTGTGTTAGTTAAACCAAACTGATGAAAATAGTTGTACTTATAAAGTATTATTTGTTGTACTCTTTTTTTTATTGACAATCCCTTTACCTTAGTTCTTTTGTTCGTTTGACACCTGTAATCCTAAAAATTGAAATCATCTAAGTATAGTCATTTGTGTAACTAGTGTGCGAAGTGGCACACTGCACACGAAATAAATGTTTGCGCACGAGCCGTTGAGTTTGGTGAGTGTGGAAAGTTTCTCGAGTGCAGCAAAGGCAGTTTGCACTCGTGTTACACTTTATGTTTTCCTGCAGTTATAATAAAGCTTCGAAATAATTAGTCTTTCAAACACTAAACAGCTCTTTTTAGGTAAGGTTATATCCAAGCGTTGAACGAAATTGGAAACACTACAACAGCTGATCGTAGTCGTAGTATCTTTAAGTGTTGCCAATTTATTTTTTTTAGCATGTTACCTACATAAAAGCACGCTGTTTTATGTTGTTTGGTTGGGATACTGGAGTGTGGAAAACAGAGTGCAGCAAAACTAAAACGAGTGCGGAAAAACTAATTAAATACAGCAATTAGCAACTTTCTGTACTATAATGCAAGGAAGCCCACTTTGTCAGGTGACTTAAGGAAAAAGCATTTTGTCTATACAAATGAGTGAGACCCATTGAGTGCCTTTATTACCTAGTAAAATCAGCTGTTTCTTGTCAAAACTATTTTCTAAAATCCAAAGTCAGCTAGGTAGGAACTGTTAAAAAGCTACTTAAAATGACTTTGGTATTGGTAGTTGAGTACTAAAACCACCAAACAACAAATCTATAGATTAGGTCATATTATGACAGATGACACACCAAGATACGTGGATTCAGGCGAAGGTGAGAGAAGGATGAGCTTCGAATTAAACATCCGATTCATTACTACCGAAGGGCCACAATCAAAGTGCACAAATTGCGAATTTTCAAGGGATTAAAAACTCATTTTGAACCAAAGTTAATAATGCAATACTCTTATACCTTCCAAAGATTATGTTCAATTAGGATAGTTATTAAGTGAACAAAACTAAAAAAAAAATAAATATGTATATTGTCTATCTATCTACACAATAAAGAGTGATTTGCCTACCTTAATCAGAAAACAATTAACACTAAAAATATGTTAGGTTATTTATAATACATTTTCACGAATTGCTTTATCTCTTGTTTACAATCTGACTTGGGTTAAACATTACACTGAGCTGTTAAATTACAATTCACATTAAAACCATTACAAAAAAGATGGCCAGCATCATTTGATCTTTAAAAGTAATGTTTTTAATTTAATAACACTTTGGGAACGAAGCCCAAAATGAAATTAACTTCCGAGTTGCCATTCGTCACTCTGATATATCATAAGCTTTACAATGACACAATCCTAGAAATTGGTTTGAGTATTAAGGCTGGAAAGGGGTGTAACAGTAAGCTACCTTATTCTGCTAATTGTATAAGATTACGATCATCTGTTTCTTGTCAAGATAAATATTTCAGCCAGTGATCAAGAGCCGAAAATTGAGACGGACACTACAACCTATTTAGACAGTGTGCATCCGAAGTATCCAGGATTCAATAAAACTGTTGAACAAAGAGAACTGTGGGAATCCATAAGCGGAAACGCTACTTACAACCGTATCCTTTGGAACCAGTTTCAGTGCGGTAGCAGGTTCGTTTACGTCCCTTATCTCGACAACGGAGCCTCAGTCTGCGAGACCAATTGGAAGACAAGGCACTTAATAAACCGATCGTCGCCCAGCGGATGTTGGGGTTCCGAGGTGTAGTGATTAGTGATATATCTGACCACTTGACCAGCCTCAGGGCGAGAAGTAGCTATTTACTGGACTTGGGCAGAATAATTTATAATCGATGCAAAAACTCGTCCCATGACTGTGCTGTTTAGAAATTACCCGAAGCAGCACCTGAAAAGTGAATTTCCATTTACATGGTTGAATTTTCAGTAAAATATTAAATTCAAATTATCAGATTTATTTCAAATTTTCTTTCTAGGCCAATGGCATTTTCACGAAAGCGAATTTTTTTAAAGCGAATGGCCCAAACCCTGATCATGTTACTATAAATCAATTCAGTCAAATGGAAATTCGCTTACACGACAGGTTTGCTGCGGCGGGGGTATTTGTTAAGTTGAATCATTGATTCATAGCCTAGTGACAAATGGCATATGAGTTTGGAAAATATGTCACTTGGAATTAAACCATCGACATCAAATTTAAAGATGAGCACTCGGCTACCCAGACAATTAAAGAACATGAATTTTATTGAGTGTCAGAGTTTGCCGCTACAGGAGAGTTTTAGTGCGTTTTATTGAAAAAGCCAAGTAGGAAAAACAGATTTTTCAGATTTTTTTACAATGTATCTCTAAACAAATATATTATTTTTTTTACCCTCCCGATAGCATAGAAATTAGAAATTTACTATTTTTACGAATTTTCCACGTGACCATTTAATGTACAAGGACGCTTCGATATACTAAATTATTTGTTTATTTACTCTCTACTAAATAATTTAGAAAGCATTTTTTGTGGGTCAAGAATAGGAAAACCCAATTTTTAACCCGTAAACTTTAACCCTTAGTACGATTACGCAGGTTGACAAACTCGTTCCAATAAAATAAATGCAGGTTTACACGTTTGTACAAAACTCCATAAAAACCTGATGCTTTTTACTCGGACATTATTTTTTACGCATTGGTTTTTTGGTCTCTGTGTACATCAACACGAAATTGTAAATTCATCCCGGATCTGGGTCTTTAAATTACCAAATTTTTCCCTACACAATTAATGGTTTGTCCCTATTTGGGAAATTCGCTAAAATTGAGTCTTTCATGACAATCTAAGACGGATGCTATTTTCTTCATCCTGTACATTGCCGTGTCTGCCTAAACTCTATTTATATAATTTCCTATTTACAAAACATCCACACACATGCGTGTCCAAGAATCCCTACTTTCACACAATTAAACAAATCCCAATCAAGACAATTTTCCGGCTCTGATGCACGTCTAATGGGGAGTCAGTGAAACTGCATCTGACTTTCAGTTTCATCCAGCGATGGGTGGCAGGCTGCTGCATGGAGGGGGGTTCACACCGCCAGTGTTAGTGTTAGTGTCCGCCCGTGTGTTGTGGTGTGCAGTGCTCTTGTCTGGATAAACAGCTGTTTGGTAAGTCACGCTGTTTTGTTTTTATTTTTAAATTGAAATTAATAATTTATGTATCTTTTGTGTGTAGTGTTTGGTGTACGTTGGAGCTTTTTAAGATTTTTCATTGGTAAATAAGATGTGTAAAATTTAATTATTTCATCCAAAATAGTTTTTTACTTAACTAATTGTGGTTAATTGTTTTGATTCAAATGATAGGGGTGTGAAATAAGTTAGCATTTATAAACACTTTTGAACAGTAAAATATAATTGTAAAATAATAGAACTGTGATTCGAAAGTAGGATCATTCAAACGCAGTAAAAAAGTGAATGTCTTGTATATAGAAGATAGAGTACATACCGATATTTTTAGAGTAGAATTTCAAGACAAAGTACGTGTATGAGTGGAATATTACTGTATTCTGATTAACATAGTGGATATGGTGTGATGTTTGAAATATGTGTTAACGCACTGTAACCGTATAATATGACATTTAAAACATACAAGGATAACTTGATATTAAAGTTTTAATTTAAAAACCAAGGTTGGATATAAGTTTTACTCAATCCAAGTGATATTTAGTAGGCTAAATTTCTTTCATTATTTAAAATGCCACGATTTTGTTCAACACTCAGACAGTAGAAATCTAAACTCCTAAATGGCTGTGTTTTTTGTAAATTAATATGAAGTACAAATAATGAGATAAAGAGCTAGGAGGACCTAGATTGTCGTTATAACCAGTGTAATTTCCAAAAGTGATTAATCATTGTGCATTCGTATTCTACTAGTTTTAATGTACATTTAAACTTATTTTTATCATTAAGATTTTTTTTTTTACTCTTTTATCTAACTAATCATAAGCTGCCAAATATTAATGACATGTAGTAACCATCTTTCTTAGTATACATTATCAAATGTGTTTCATTTTAATATCCGTATAGATTTCCTCCTAGCCTATGGTTATTTAATTTTTTTTATGAGAATAAAGGTTGAAACTAACTTTAATTATGTATTAAAATAAAAATCTCAATAAATTAATGTCTTTCTTAATTTTCGACTGTGTTGCAAGGGTATTTAATATCTTTACTAAGACAGATATATACTTTCAATACGCATTTTAACGGGAATAAGTGCATCTTGTAGTGTAATGTAAGTGTAAAATGGAGTGCTTTACTGGTGTAGTTTTGCTACTGACTAAGATCAGTTGTTTATTTAGCTGGTATGATTAATTAAAAATGCCCAGAACTAAAAACACTTATGTATAGTTTTGAATGATCAACTTCTACTGACTCGTATTGTAATCGAACCTACAGATTAATAAAAAAACTGTATCAGCAAATCTGTCACATACTTTCCCACAACTTGTCAACAACCCTTATAAAAGTTAAGTGGAGGGATTAACTATGATATTTTATGGGGAAAATCACAAAAATTGCAATAAAAAAAATATACAAGCCCCAAAAGTACCAAGTTTCATCAAATCGATTTGCACAATCTAAAGAAATAAACGTTTGTGTAAAAAATACAAAATGATGGTATTATGTTTAACGAAGTGATTTTGAATAGTGTTATACTGTACTTGATTTTCTCGTTATTTTTGCCCATATAATAATTTCCCGGAGTTTAGCTGTTAAATTAAGGGACAAATGTCTATATTGTTTGCTATATTGTTCACTAGCTGGCGTAAAAGAAAAAAAATACAAAAGTTTCACTCCAATATTCTGAAATCACATCGCCATCATCAAATCAAAGTGATAACCTTGATTTAATGACCGACAATGAATGGAATTCATGTTGGATAATATTTACAAGGAAGACACTGCAATTGGAATGCCCAAGGTTAAGGCCTTGTGAAGAACTATGAATGATCGCAACAATATTCAGTTGAGACATCGAAAAACAATTGCGGCGATTGTACAAAACTATCCTTTGTATGATGTCTGCTCCACCTTTTACGTGTTTAATGCAAAATTAAGTCTTCTAACGGTTTTACAAACTGAGTTCTTTAATAACGGACCGTGTGAGTGCGAATTGGATTGTATTCTTGATAATGAAATTACGGAAACAACTATTTATTTTTATAGTTTTGTTTGATGTCTAGATTATCCAAATTAATTATACTCAATCGTTTAAAATAATTATTTAGGAGCGGATTATAGTCACATTTAATTAAAATTAGGTCAAATTAGTTTAATGACAGTTTCATCGTAAGCAAATTAAGTGCACAGTTTTCTTTTTTATAAAAGAATCTCCAACTAAACCATCGTATGCTTAGCTGATATAAGAGAGGAATTTTACCTGTTTATAACCTTTGTATGAATAGAATACTGTAAAGTATGCATCCCACTCACGTGCTAAAATTTTGACAAGTTTGATGATATTTTTTTAACTGAGTCTCAAAAAATGTATGTTTATGAAAAATCTGGTTATTTAACGCCAACTTGGCCATGCTAATTTAAAGGGCAACCTAATTTATTTTCCAACATGTTTGTCCTAACAAGTCTTAATAAACCATTATTAAAATGTTATAGAATGAACTACAAGGCAAAATGGAAGTGGTACACCTTATCAGAGGCTTTTGAAATACGTTGTCTTTGAGTACCGATAAAACTGGATTTAACGAAAACATCAAGAAAAATGAAAATTTTTTCGTTGTCCGGATTGACAATATACGGTTGTGGACGAAGACATGAAGTATTAACAAAACTAAAACAGATTTCAGTAATTTTTTAATAGTGATGTTTTTTTTCAAGACTATTTTCACAGATCATCATTTTTTTACTGTCTGCAATTGAATCAATTACGATTTTTCAAAATCCTTTAAACAACGCACAGAGTTAGAAAATATAAATTTTAATAAAAAGTTATACGTAAAACATTTCTACCACCCAACCTACTACTACAAATTAGGAAAATCCTCATACCTTTCCCACATGATAAGTTTTGTCAGAATTAATTAAAAGAAACAATAATGTAACTTGATTAAGGGACAAATAAGCTAATGCGTTAATGTCAATCGTTTAAGATAAATCCATGATTGATGGGATGTAAGGTATTCATGATAAACCTTCTACTTATAAACCGACTGATTCGGAATTTCAGAGTCCCTTGAATTTATGCGGTTCTCAAAGCTCCACAAAACTGAATCAGTATCAAATTCCAGAGAACTGAAATTGAACCAGAGATAATGAAGACATTCGTGCTGTTGGACACAGTTACTTTTCATACCTGATACTGCAAATGATTCGGTATTCACTGAATTCCACAAATACTTTAGAAAGGACCTGGAGCCCTTTGTACCTGAAACTATCAGCAACTTCTAATTTCAGCAAGTGATTCATTTCACTGACATGCATTCCTAGACAACAATCGGCTTAGGACGAGTTACTTTCGTTTGAACACGTAAGTGATATTTAGACTCCAGTCATGGTTGAATATGACGTTAGAACGTGGGAGCTCTGCCGTGGTGTTTTGAGGAAAATAAATGATCCTGGCTGATGAATCAGCTGAACTTAGTCAGTAAAAAAGCCACACAAATCATTTAACAACATTCTACACACATCCTTCACACGAATTTGGCATAAATACACACCTAGGTGGTGTCCACATCTCATAATGATGATAATAATATTTTTTTTATTATCTCAATAGTTTAACAACCAACCCTAAACTATAAAACAAAATTTGGAAAATCATGACAATCTATGCTCATAATGTATTTAAAACTTAAAGTAAGACAATATAATTATTGTGAATCGGTGGGCTATTCTTCAGTTGACCCATATGGACCAGGCTATTCTATTTGCTACGATCGAACCAGCATCCTGTCAATATGACGATGAGCACTAAAACACTATGCTACCCAGACATCTTTGTTAAAGATAGTTGAAGATAGACAAATTATCTTTGCTGAGCACCAAAACCCTGATGGCCTCAATGTTTTGACTCTGGGGTGGGTTGTTTAACCCCAGGGGTGGTCTGGCGTTTTTCAAACCTGAAGAGCCCCAGAAGCCTGTAAAACTTGAGACCTGATATCCTTATGTCTCCACCTGTCTTTGATAAGAAGCAGGAAGTGTATTTTTAACCTTGGTAAAGAATATTGACTGTATTTTCCCCAATTTCTATATTTTATAAAATTAAAAACCGAGTATTCTACTAAAAACGCGCACAATACAATGGTTCTGAGATCCTAATTGGTTTAGAAACATCAAACGGGTTTACAAGTAAAAAATTACCTACTCTTATTACACCACCTTAAAGAAAGGCCAATAGAGAGAAACAATCCAATATTGATGAAAATATAATAATAATGGTTTAATTTACCTCTGTCAATATGGTCCTTGCGTAGTTTGTCACTACTGCAGTTTCGTGCTCGTGGAGCACATCATCAGGTGAAGGTCACAAAAAGTTAAAACATTTTACTCATTTTTGTGATCTTCACCTGATGATGTGCTCCACGAGCACGAAACTGCAGTAATGACAAACTACGCAAGGACCATATTGACAGAGGTAAATTAAACCATTATTATTGTTGCTGTATGGTCCAGAGGCTACCCATCATGAGATGAAAATATGATTCAGCCTATCCTTCCTTTTTTCCTATCCGTCCACCATTCTTCAGAAATGGACTATTCCTACTGTTATACAGTAGGTGTATAGCACTATTGCTGAAGATGTTTGCCAAAAGCCTGTCCTAAATCTGACACAACTGTGTATAGTGACACAACTGTGTATAGCCATCCAAATTTTAGGAAACCATTAAATTAAAATCAAACTATTTACTTTTACTTTACCCTCTTGGACTATTACCTCTTGTTTATTTTATGTTTCGTTTCCGTCAATGTCTGTAGCATATTTTAAAATTTTCACCAGAAAATCTTAATAAATACTATTTAACCCATTCTACAATTCAAACCATTTACACACTACAAACTAAACAATTGCGCCTTGAAATGCCACATGGTTAGTTAATTCCTCCAAAGACATTTAGCACCTTGAAAGACTTTGATCAATTCGATGATTA